GTTGTTCCTATTTTACTTTTTTTTTTTTTTTGTAAATAATGATAGTTTGTTTTGTTCAAATACGCTTAAATTTTTAGTTAAACAATTTTAGGAAGAGTGTACTTACACGTTTTTAATAACGAAGAATAACAACAAAAGCATTAAGTTAATGCAGAGAAGAATACTTGCTCACCTTTTCGGGTATCGCCCTCGTGAATTAAAGTAAAATAATATAGTGGTAGAGCAAAACGAGTCGATAACGATGATTATATTCTCGGGCAGGCTTCCCATTCGTATATATATATATATGTATTCAATATCGACGTTTTCTTTTTTTTTTTTTTTATTAAATTCGCGTATATTTTTGCACAGAATTTAATGTCGTTGTTGCTCGGAATACTCTGTTTCGCCAAAGTCTAGCGTGTATACACCAAATGTATAAGAAATGAGCGAGAAGATTATTAGAAGATTGAAATGTCTTCGAATGTGCAAATTTATTTGTTATATTGAATGTGGTGATGACGTACGCATGGTGTGTATTCGTGTATGTAACGCATGTGCGCTCGCGTGCGTATATGTGCGTATATGTGCCGTATGGTGTGTAGAAGAAAGATATTAAAATAATCATATGTTACATGCATTTACTTATTTTATGTAATGATATATTATTTCAAACGATTAAAAAAAATCTTTATTTCAATTGTATATTTGTTGGTTTATTAAAAAATTTATCAAATTTAAAAATACTCGATTCTATATACTACAATAATTACTACGATAGATTAATTAAAAAAATAATTGAAATTCAAAAACGAAAATTTTCAAATCAATTTTCTATGCGAAATAAACGAAAAAATATTTTAGAAATCTATATTATTGGTTATATTATTTTTCCGAGGTTATCATTCTAAAAATATATTTTAAAATCAAGAATTTTTATTACTGATGTGTATTTATTATATCCCAATTTCTATTATGTCTTTTTTTAAAGATTAAAGATTAAAGCATTTTTTTGAAAAAAAAAAATGATTTTTTTTAATTGACTCATATCTCATTTATGGTTATATATCAGCAACAAGGAAAGTAAATAGTGCGAAAAGAAATAGAATAAAAATATTGAAATTATCATTATCTCCAGAGTACTGTAAATGAAATGCACAAGAAAAGAAAATAGCAATAGGACAGAGATAGAATAAGAATTGATTATCATTGCCATCTTTTAAGTAACAAAGACAATTCTTTTAAATAATCATCTTTGCAAAAACACTCAAGAGATGACGTTAATTCTTAATTCTTATATATTAATAGTTTTTATTTATTTTTGTGTACATATCACATTTTATATGTATATATTTTTACATAAACATAAACAAATGTTTTTCTTTCTTTTATTATTCTTTATATATATATATATATTCTTATTTTCTTCTCACACATCTTGCTATTTAAATAATTTTTTGAAATATATATAAATATAATAAATTAAATATAACATTTAATTTATACTGTTCTTTTTTAAATTTTAATTATTGACAAAATATATTTTGTTGGTAAAACAGTCAAATGATCAAAATATTTTCAGTAACGCCATCTCGCGTTTGGACACTCAAAGCTCCGACTTGTTACTAGCATAACATAATATATAAAGAGGTATTCGAAGTCATAGACAAGGAGGGCAGGATTGTGCGAAAAGGACAGAGAGTATTTTCCTCCAGTTCAAAGGTGTCATATAGAAAATTCGTTAATTATTCGTTTTCTATTCAAAATTTCATCACATTTAACTTAATACCTTGAAGCTAAAAGTTCATGCTAGTTTATTTTATCAATATTAATATAAAATTCTTTTCCATTATTATTTATTATTATTATTTATTATCAATTAACTCATCATACGTTCTAATGCATTGGAATGGAAGACGCCATTGAAAATTCATTAATTACTGGTTTTCTATTAAAAATTTATATATTTTTGAACTTATATCTTAAAGATAGAACTCCAAACAAATTTCTCGTATCAGATTTAATATAAAATTTTTTTAATTAATTGTTTATTAATGATTAATATATTACATCGAATCAATGCCAATGACACGCAATAAATTTTTCATTAATTTTTCATTATTATAATAATATTTATTTCTAAGTATTATTGTATGCATTTGAAACATTATTTTTTCCTTTATATTCACATATGAATTTTATTTATAATTTTGTCATAGTTTAAATGAATAAAATGATTTATATCTGGATTTCGGAATGGAATTACTGGTTTGCGAGTAAAAATACAATCCATAGTAATTTGTTAAAATTTGTATAAAATATAGATTAAAGAGTAAATAATAATAATAAGAACAAAGATAAGAAAAAAATAAAGAATCAACATCATCTTTAGAAATGAATACAAAAAGATAAAAAAAGAAAATTGTAAGAAAAACATAGAAATAAAATAAGAATTAACCATCAGTGCCATCTTTCGGATGAAAAGAAAAACTCTAAAAATTATGTTTCTAAAAATGTTTAAGAGATGGCATTGATTTTAAATTCTTACCTTACCTCTTTCTTTTCGAAAATTAAGAAATGGCGCTGATAGTCAATTCTTATCTTATTTTTATCCTTCTCCTACTATTTTCTGTCCTTGTGTATTGAATTTCATTTGGAATCTGGAGATGGCGTTAATTTGACTATTTTTACTCTATCTCTATCCTTCTCACATTATTTGTTTCGTGTAAGATATTTTATAGATGGTGCTGATTTCGTCAATGTTGAATTTTTATTCTATCTCTTTTCTTATTTATATTTATTTTGTAAAATTTATGTATTCAAGAGATAGTTTGAATATCTTATTAATTTTATTGTCTTTTTTTCCTGCAAAGTTTCATTAAATATTAAATATACCTTGTTTGTGTTTAAAAATTCCCAATAGATTAGTTCTATATGTTACTGTTAGGTGGTGTTTATTAAATATATAATTTTTAATTATTAAATGACAAAAAATTAATTTTAAATTATTCTTATTAAAATATGTTTTAATTTTAATATTAAAAAATTTGAAATTTATTTTAAAAGAAATTAATATAAAGAACCATTCACAAGATTTTTCAAGGCTAGTTCGAATATATGATTGGTTAGCTATGTCAAAATCATAGTTATAGCATTGAACTTGTGTATAGTTTATTCAGCGAATCAAGTTATCAGATGTAAATAATACTACGTAATTAAAATCGACAAAAAACAGAAGTAATTCACATATCTAAGATACAAAATAGTAAGCTACTATTTCGCATATTATTTATTAATATAATAAAGGATTATTAATATAATAAAGAACATTCAAAATACAAAATCATAATTTTCGTATTATCATATATATTATATATTTAAAATTCTAATATGATTAAAGACTTTTTACCAGTTAATTATTAAAATTGCAACATTCGTAGATATAATTTTTATCATTTCTGGGGACTTTATTCATTGAATGAAGTATAGTTAGAAGGAACGTATAAAAGAAAAGGAACAATCGATTACGTTTGTAGTATACCGGTCTTCTGAAATTGGTACAAAGTTACATTAGTTTTTTTGATTAAATTTTTTTTTAGAACGTTGTATTTGTGAATTAGTTCGTATTGGATGTCATGTCACTGCTTTTCATTAACACAAGTAATACGTAATTAAATTGAACTGTATTGCATTTACTTCTTTTTTAAATTCGACGAATAAGAATAGAACGCGATATTTTTTGTTTTTATTTTATTTTCGACACATTCATTTTTTTATTATATCTTTTGTTTTTTTGTAATGGTCGATAATTTATATCGTCGTAAAATATTATACAAGTACGGTTATTTAGTTGAATAAACTGATTGTTTCGGTTGCGTATTAATCATTTTCAATAACCTCAATTTCACGATTTGAACACGATTGATTAAAGAGTGGATTAATTTTTTGCTTTCTTAATTTTTTATTTGTTATTATTCGATATATTTTCAGCCTCTCTGTTCGTAAGAAAACCTCTTGTTGAAATTGGAACTCGTCTTTTATCTTCCATGGCTCAAGCATTGCAGACTCATGGTGTCGTACCCGACGTTATAGATAAAGTTCCAGAAAATGTTTTAAAGGTTACTTATCCGAATCAAATTTCCGTTGAAATTGGCAAAGTGTTAACACCGACTCAGGTTAAAGATAAACCTAATGTTACATGGAGTGGTGATACAAATACTTATTACACTCTTTGCATGACTGGTAAGTCTTCCATCTCATTGAAAATTTTAATTAACAATTATTCAGATTTATAAATCGAATCAATTTATTATATTTTCTTCATAGATCCAGATGCACCAAGCCGTAAGAATCCAAAATTCCGTGAATGGCATCATTGGCTGGTAGGAAATATCCCTGGTTCGGATATTGCCAAAGGAGATGTCCTTTCTGATTATATTGGTTCAGGTCCACCAAAAGATTCAGGACTTCATCGTTACGTGTTCCTGTTATATAAGCAACCTGGAAAACTTACGTTCGATGAACGTCGTCTAACTAATCGAAGCGGACAAAATCGTGGAAATTTTTCCATTCGAAAATTCGCTACAAAATACAAGTTAGGTGATCCTATTGCAGCAAATATGTATCAGGCGGAATTCGATGATTACGTTCCACTTCTCTACAAACAACTTGAAGGCTAAAAATATTTATGTATAGATTCTTATAAAGATCAATACGCAACAAAAATATCATATTATATTTTATATTAAACATTTGTTTATGTAGTGCCAATTTCTTTTCTTATTATTATCCTAATATAATGCTTGTATACATATATGCATTTAAAATGCAGGAAAATAAATGAAATAATAATGAAATATTATATTGCATTTTTTGATCGATTATATTTTTATTCAAAATATAAGTATTACCCGATAAATAAAATTTTTCCATGTCGTTTGATAAATATTCAGAATCAGTTATCTGGTATTCATTTCGTATCTATGTGTGCTAAGATAGATATTTAATAGCAAGGAGATTTTCAAAAGAGAGAAGATTGTGAGAAGAGAAATGTTACGAAATGATTAAGAAAATACGAAAGTTGATGGAAAGTGGGGGCGAGTGGGGATTGTTTGACAAATGAAAAGAAAAGGATACGAATTCTTGTCAGGTTATAAGTTAAAGGAGGGGGAAAAGTCTGTGAAATAAAACGTTTCATCAGAGTCAAGCATGTCATAGTTCGACGAGACTAAGTGCACGTCATAACAAAGATGAAATACTTTATGATATTAGGTATTATTATTTATTCTTAAGAATGAAGCGGGAATATAATTAGTTTGGTTGATTTCGTTCGTTGTGCGTTAAACATGATATAAAAATATGTTGCAGGAATTCTCGCCTGCAGTATCCATATTATCACGGCTAAGGATACTCGTACGGAATTTGAAAAAGCGCTGATCGTACCGAATATATTAGACGTAGCACCGACGGAGAAAATCGAGGTGCAATTTTCATTGATAATCACTTAATGTTGGAATATATGTGTGTACATGTGTATAAGTGTCTGTGTATGAATCAAACTGTTCCTAATTATAAATATATTTGTTACATAGATATTTGGTTTCATGCGAACGAATTATATTAAATCTATATTAAATTCAACATATATAATAATATATATAATAAAAAGTTTATATTGGAATAATTCATGTATGAATTTGAATTAGGTGAAATATGGAGACAAGATTGTTGATTTGGGAAATGAACTAACTCCAACAGAAACGCAACAGATTCCAGAAATTCATTACAAATACGAAGGAGGTGTACTTTACACGTTAGTAATGACAGGTAAGCAGATAGATTAATTCAAAAAATAATTTTTTGAAATTAGTATTATTATTATTTAGTGAATTTAGAGAATTTATTTAAAAATTAAAATTAATTTTAATTCGTTTTAAAGAAGAACATAGTATTATACATATATATATATATGTATAGATATTACTATATAGATACTATTATTTTATCCTAGTGGAATTCTCGACTTGGTGAAAGTCGATGCGGACAAACCTGTTTCTTTCATACGCTGGTTCTTGTTTACCGTTCAACTAATGATTTGTCGATCGATATTTAGTAACTGTTAAAATATAAATGATGATAATAAAGAAGATAGGATTGTATTTTGTTATGCTCAGATCCCGATGTGCCGACTAGAAAAGGATATAATAGAGAATTTCGACACTGGCTGGTCGGAAATATTCCGGAAGAAAATATTGCCAAAGGAGAAATATTAGCTGAATACGTTGGTCCAGCGCCGCCAAAAAATTCTGGAAAACATCGATACGTCTTTCTCGTTTATAAACAGAATCAAGGATCCATTACGTTCGACGAGAGAAGGTTAAGCAACAGGTAAAATTGATGAATTTTATGTCATATCGTGTTCACACGATTTTTAATCGCGTCATATTTACATCGGCTTTATACACGAATTTCAGAGATGGTCCTCAGCGAAAGCGATTCAACATAAAGAAGTTTGCAGAAAAGTATAATCTGGAAGGTCCAATAGCAGGAAACTTTATGAAAGTTGAATATGATGATAACGTGCCCGCGTACGCGAAGCTTTTAGGATTTTAAGGATCTCAAGCAACTTTGACAATTAATTAACAAAGGATATTCTTTTTATTAATATTCAGGTGATGGTACGAACATATTGCTTGTACAAACATGACTACCGATCTATAATGAGAACGGTGAAATGATTATTAATAAATGTTTCATAAGACAATAAAAGATAGGAGAAAAATCCGTCGATTCCTTTATTTTTTTCGTTGATTCTTGTTACAAATATAAAACGTATTCTATATAGATTTCGCAACTCGTGGATGGCTTTGGTTAGCTCTCGAAGTTCCAAGTTTATAAATCTGGATCATCTCGAGCGGAGAATTGGTTGCTGGTCTCGTAGTTTCTTTTTACCAATTTTTAAATTGGTTAACAATTTATAAACAGATAATAATATCCATTTATCATATTGCATACAATGACTAGAGTATGTGACAAGCGTGTTTCTCTATATGCAAAAATTTTTTGAGAGTTTGACAAGTTTGTTGAAAAAGCTGAGATAAACGCAAAACGTGCTTCTCGTTTTAATCGCAAAAATCGATTGCTAAGTTTTAGTACGAACATAAAAGTAAGTAAGTACGCTGCTAAGGATATTATACACTCCAATAACAAATTGTAGGATCGATAACTCGTCGAAGGAACTTGTTAAACGAGCATGTTTCATTAGAGACAAAACAATGAACGATGCAGGGATGAAGAATGGGATGAGCAAGACACACGAGATTTTGGACAGAGAATTGGAACAGAGAAAAAACAGGAGAAGGGGAAGGGCAGAAGAAAATAAGCAAGGATAAAAAGAAATAATGGGGAAAAAAAGAAGGGGAATTGAGAGGAAAGTTAAATTGGGTTTGATCTCATGGTAAAACGAGATCCGGATAAACAGTGATATTCCAACAAAGCCGATGATCCCGTGTGTCACCCCATCCACCGTTACCTTTTCTAAGTTTCGTCTTTTTCGCAGTACCAGCTACAGTGAGCGTCAATTGAGTAGGAAAAAGATGTTCTTGGGCAGCTTTTAGAATGTTTTGAACCTTTGCTATCACAGCGGTCGATTCGCAATTGGTCTTCTTATGATGGACTCCACTGGACATTGACAACATTCATATATGTATATATATATACTTCATATTCATAACAATATATGGGAAAATAAAGAAGAAAGGTTGTTCCGACTTACCATTCTCCGATGTGAAAAACTCTAGGCGCTCTCATCATCATCGTGATCAAACCGGATTCTGTACGTGGCGCGATTCCAGGTCCTTTACTCGGAGGCAGACAGGTTTGCGCGATATGTTGAAGGCTCCAATCCCAATTGTAATCATCGTACGAGCAAAACTGAGCGGCACACTTTCTCAATTTGTTCCACGTGACACGATTGAACGCCATACCCATGTTATGCTTGCTCGAGATCCAAGGGATCACCTCAGCCTAAACGGAATACGAATAAAGGCAATTTTTTCTTTTTTGAAATAGCAACAACACCTAGTAATATCGTGATCAGGATAAGATGAGAAAGAAAATCGCGGAACGATCGGTGCGCGTGAGCGCGTGCGCGCACGCGCGTGGACGTTATGCGTGCATCATTATAACGTTTCGTCGTACAACGCGGCGGCGCAGCAGTTCGTTATCACATTACTGGACAATGTTGACAATTTTACGGTAAATAGTTTTACAAAAATTTCCTCGTGTCGATTATTATACACGTTCGAGAGTTAGAGTTTGGCGAAGCGTTGTCACGATGTTGCAATCGTGTTATTAGTCACGAAAACGATTGTGGAGAGCGAACAAACATTTTAGAGGAAAAAAAGCGAGAGAAAGCGACGCGTGCGTGCGCACGTGCGCGCCTGACTCGATAGAAACGAGAGAAGAGATGGAGAGAATTGCGCGGATAACGGAGGGTCGTCGAAATATGTCGGCAACCTTTTGATAGTGATTGTAGAGTTCGGGTAGGAGCTGGAAAGCCCATGCGGATTGCATTGTCTGTACGTTCCGTGCGACGGACACGAAGGCGGCAGCGCCAGTGCTGTTATTGATGCTATTCCCAACGCTGTTGTTTCTGCTCATTCCCATAGGAGTGCTATTGCTGGTGGTGCCGCCACTGCCACCGCCGCTGCCACTGCCACTGTTGCCACTGCTGCTGCTGCTGCTTGGAAATGGACCGATTCTTCCGCCGACGCCACTCCCAACGATGTCTTCGACTTTTGCCGAAGTGTGCTGCCTCGCCGCTGTCTCCCATCTCTTTAATCCACGTAGAAGCTCCTTTTGAAGAGCGCTGTTGACGCCAAGGAACTAACAGATGAGGCGTGCGTGAAACATCGACACACAGATATTCAGACTCGAAATCGGACACGATACGCATCCAACGATTCTTACGCGATCGCGGTCTCGTGACAATGATAAAAATTTTATCCCTCATCTTTCGTGCAGCTACGTAACTTTATTTCAGATCCTTTTCGATCTATCCCTACCATTGACTATCTATCTCTCCTTCCCTTTTTATCTTTGCAATTATAATTAATCTTGTTGCGAATGCGATGAAAAAGAGGAGCGGGGTAGATAAGAGCAGAGCATAGCAAAAAGAGAAAAAGAGAGAGAGAGAGAGAGAGAGAGAGAGAGAGAGAGAGAGAAGAGAGA